GAGTAGCTGGGACTACCGGCACACGACATGGTGCTTGGCCCTAATCTGTATTTCTGTCTCCTCATCTGCTCAGAAGGGAGTCCTACCCAGCAACTGACTTTTTATCAGAAACCACTCCATTAAATCACCAACATCCGTATTAATGACCTTCATACTCCCAACTCTGGCCTTAGAAGGGCCTCTTAGACTTAATCAGATGCTAGGATGCTGGCGTCCCTTTGAGGTGTCTGGCCCCCCACCTGCACTAACCTGTGCAGAAACTCCTGCCCTTTATTGTAGGCGTGGATGGTGGCAAGGCCCTGTATGCTGGATGTGATGTGGGAGAGGAAAGGTGACTGTGTGATATTGTCCAGACGCTTCAGTTCTCGAATCAGGACTCTGGAGAGAGAACAAGTTCTGTGTCGTAATGGTACACCAGCAACTCAGGCTTGTCTGCCCTGTAGATGGAAACACTTTCTGTTTACCTGGACACAATGTGCAGAACTGAAAAGAGGATGACAAGGGGCCCCACTGCTACAAGGAACCAGGGGAAAACCCCGGCGATCATTCCAACACAGAAGAACACCAGGATGACATTCTGGATGAACATCTCAGCCTGGAATGGCAGGCGCACGTCAACTGGGGAAACCACAAAGGAACAAGTGTCAGGCTGCTGGGATCAAAAACCAAGGAAAATAGACCTGAGAAAAGGAAGAGGACCCAGGAAATCCCTACTCGAAGTTTATGATGTTATCTTTAAACAGTATGATCAAAGAAAAACCTAGAACCCTGGTTGGTCTAGTTTCTTTTTTGTCCCAAGAATTTTTTCCCTTTTTCTTTTTTTAATTAAATTTTGGCCACGCTAATCTTCTCTGTATCATTTCAGTTTTAGTATTTGTGTTGCCAAAGCCAGCACCGTCCCAAGAATTTAAGTGATCTTCTTTCTCCATCTTCTTCTTGCTCAACCCCTTTGAACATTTTCCCCCTTTATAGAGTAATACATGTTTATTGTAAGATATTTAGAAAACAAATACACAAAAAAGAAAGCAAAAATTATCTGTATTCTTACCAATACCAACGAACTGCTAAGGTTTAAGAAATTTTTTATCATAGAAAAAAAGTTTTTCTTTTTGAGACAGAGTCTCACTATGTTGCCCTTGGTAGAGTGCTGTGGTGTCACAGCTCACAGCAACCTCAAACTCTTGGGCTTAAGTGATTTTCTTGCCTCAGCCTCCCAAGTAGCTGGGACTACAGGTGCCCACCACAACACCCAGCTATTTTTTGGTTGTTGTTGTCTTTGTTGTTTAGCAGGTCCAGGTTGGCTCAAACCCACCAGCCATGTGGCCAGCACCCTACTCACTTGAGCTATGGGTGCCGAGCCTATCATGGAAATTTTTAAACATACACAAAGGTCAAAGAAAGAGTATAGACCCTTTAATGGTTATCAACTTTCTTCATCTCCTTTTGGCTGTCTCCCCAACCCACTTTCTTTTTATTATGCCTAAATTATTTTCTTTTTTTTTTTGCAGTTTTTGGCCGGGACTGGGTTTGAACCCGCCACCTCCAGCATATGGGGCCGGCACCCTACTCCTTTGAGCCACAGGCGCTTCTCATATGCCTAAATTATTTTCATACAAATTCCAGACATGTTGATGCCACAGACTTATCCTTTCTTTTTTCCATTCACGTGTGTGTATGTGCACGTGTTTAACAGAAATGGGACCGTGTTATCCTTTAGTTCTAGTATCAGGGATGGTTCTGATTCCTTATAACCTCTGGCCATGACTGTCAATGCCTGAAACAAACTCCTTCTATGGGGGCAGCCACAGTGCAACAGTTAAAAACAAGCTGTGTTGCTAAATAACTGTAGATCTTGGGCAAGTTACTAAACTCTCCTGAGTACCAGCTTTCTCACACATTCATTTGATAAAGAACCAGCACGCACCTCACAGGGCTGCTGTGAGGATCAGGCTAATGCACGTAACACTGTGCACACTATCCGTTACACGGTACACTCTCAATGTCAGGCGGCATCCCTGTTATGCTGGGCTATGGAGAGAACCGTATTCAAGTTCTACTGCAGGCACAGCTCATGCAACATCCAGAAAACCTGTCAGAAGTTAAAGCTGTCCAGGAACCAATGCATTGCTTCAAAGTAAACATGTACTTTGGAATCTCAGGTGTCCCTGTCCAAAGCCTTCCTGCTAACTCAATCCACTGAACTTGTCAAATACGACAGAATGAAAACTTAGATGAAATGTTCCTGGGGAAAACCCCAGCTAGATCTGTACATTTGGGGAATCACCCTGGAAGGCTGAAAGTACAGTGAGCTCCAGTTTGTCCTCCAGAGCGTAAAAGACAATATCAGAGATACCTTCATCCATGTCTTTGGAAAACCTGTTGAGAATCCTCCCTGTCGGGGTGGTGTCAAAAAACTTCATAGGGCTTCGAAGGATCCTTCGGAAGAGCTCGTCATGCAACCGGGAGGAGGCTCGTAGTGTGCCCTGAGAAGGAGAGCACAAAGTGATCAGGCCTTGGGGATGCCCAATTCCTGTCATCCAGGTAACCACTCCACAGGACACATACTCCCAAAGCTGGGGAAGTGCAGGGGGTCAGGAGGAGTGGGGTGACAGATAAGGAAAAGCAGAGGCTCATGGGATACAAGTCATTTCAGCTGAGGTCATCCCGCTTTAAGGGAGTACCCAACTCAGAATAAACCTGAGATACAATGCTAAAGGCTGACCCCACGATAACCAGGGACACTGCATACCTTGACAAAGACAACTCCTCTAACGGCTTTCAGGATCAGCATGACTGCCATGGAGAGGGCGTAGATGCTCGCATAGTAGTGCATGAGAGGATGGTCCTTCATGCTGGTGCTCACGGAGGTCTGGTTCCCTTGAGTCACTGTGGTGTTCTGTTTGGAGGCAAAGCTCTGTGAGACAAGACTCCCACAGACTGCCAAGAGCCCCTGCTCAGGGCCACTCTCAACTCAAGAGCAAGGTACAGGATAATGAACCTGGCTGTAGCACACACAAGCCAGGCCATACCCATCTCCTTCTCTCTTTTCTAAAAGATGAGAGCAGCCAGTCCGTAGTGTCCTACTGACAAGTCAATAGCCCTGTGGGTTGGTCAGAGTTTTTTTACGTTTTGTGAGGCTACATTAGGGACTCATTTTTTCATCCTGGAAAATCCTTAACTGCTTCTTTTATAGGAACGCCAGAAGTTTCCCTAAGAATACCCAGGCGTTACGGGGAGACAGACACATTCTTAGACATGCCGCGTGATAACCTTACCCCACTTCCTTGCTTGATCCAGTAACTCAGCCACCAGGTGCTGAAGGCAGTGCTGCCTACGTTCAGCACAAAGAGGGCCATGATGACCAGGAACGCCAACGGACCCCCAGCAGCCTGGATATAGACACCGTATACTGACCAGGGCACTGAACCCTGCCCCTTCTCCTCCACTTGCACAAGCTGCCCTACATAAGGAAAAAGAAACACACTCAGAAGGGAAGAGCTACTGCCACAAAATTAAGTCACAAGAAAACAGCAGAATCAAAGAGTCTATGGTTTCCTAGGGCGCTGGATTAGAATTATCTCCTGTTTATCAGAAGCATTCCTTCCTCTACTTAACATTTACTGAACACCTACCATGAACCAGGCCCAGGAGCAGGAAAGAGAATTAAGAGAATTCTTGGCTGAGAAGCCCACCACAGTCTGGCAGGACAGGCAGATAAACACACCATTACAGTAAAATGTGCGAAAGAATGGAAATACCCAGGGCAGCCCGGGAACACCCAGGGTACTCCCTCTGCCTACTTGGCAGAGGTGTGGGGAAGTCAGCAGGCAGCTATCACTTCTGGAAAGGTAAGCCGGAGTCAAGCAGGTGGGGGAGACAGCAGGCAGAGAAAATTACATGAGCACTGGCACGGAGGTGGTAAATAGCAGAAGGGTATGTACAGATAAGCACAGCAAGTCAGCACAGAGGAAACAGATGTACACCTCAGGAGTGGCATGAAAGATGACGAGAGTGATGTGGTCAGAGGATAAAGGCATTTAGACAGATAATTTCTCAAGAGAAAAGGTGGCAGGTGTGGAGACTGGACTTGTGCTGGGCTGGGTGGTGTCTCTGGCCAGGAGCAGCCTTGCCCACGGCTCCCGGTGTTCCACACTGGTATTAGCTTTCTCTGTGTGTGCCATGTTAGGAAAAATATTTAGAAAACACTGCCTTGAAGATGAGAGGCTAGGGAAAGACCTCACATAGGAACGTAAGGTGGCTGGTCTCCTGTTTTTAACTAGTTCTTTCCTGTAACTGTGGAAGACAGATTTAAAGGAGCCAGCTGTGTACTCCAGGTCTGCAGTCCTTAACCCACAGGCGGTAGACAGGTACTGGTCCACGGACTGTTAGGAATGAGGCCGCAGAGCAGGAACTGAGCGCAGGCCAGTGAGCGAAGCGGCCTCTGACTTACAGCTGCTGCCCATCCCTCGCATCACTGTCTGAGCTCCACCTCCTGTCCAGCAGCAGCAGCATTAGATGCTCACAGAAGCACAAACCCTACTGTAAACTGCACACAGGGGTGTAGGTTGTGCTCTTCTTATGAGAACCTAAGAGCTTCTAATCGGAGGGAGAGATGGAATGTGCTTGAATCATCTCAAAACCACAAAACTGGTCCCTGGTGCCAAAAGGGTTGGGGACTGAGACATGACTAGGGTCTGAACTAGAGTTGTGGCAGTGGGATGGAGTTTCAGGAGGTAAAGGCAGTATGACGTGGTGACTGACTGACTGTTGGAGGAGAGAAAGGTTCAAAGAGGTGTAGGGTTTCCTGGTGTGGCAAGATGACTGATGCTGACATGAGAATGCAGACACAGCCATACAGAGAGCCTGTCTCTCCTTATCACACAAAATGTTCAATAACCTTAAAATAAACCACTCATAAGCCTGGAGCACTCTTTAAGGGTTGTGAGTAGCCAGGTAGGTGGCTATGTAGATGAGAACAAATGTTCCCTAATGATATTCTGATTTATACCACCTGTGATAAGAACTTAACAAACTTCTCAGCCTTCCATGCTGTTTTTGTTTTTTTTAGGGTGTGCCACAAATCACAACAGAATTTAAAACCTCACCCTTATTTTTTTAAAGATAAGAAAAGAGGCAGAGAGTGGTTAATCAGAATGGTCAGCTGCTACTATCAAATATCTGTTGCAATTTTAAAGACAAGGAAGTGAAAATAGGCCCATCCCCAAATCAGTGATAAAACCCAAGAAAGTCCCTAGATCCAAAAAGTCAGGATTTAAAATACACTTTCAAACAAGATGCACACATGTAGCTTAAAATTCACGAAGATGAAAATGTCCATGCTATTACAAATAGCTGCTCTTAACTTTCGAGATTTATTTCAGCTGTTAACAGGTTTAAGTATCTGGATAGGAAAAGCCAAGTAGGAGAAAGTCCTCACTGTAACTCTTTACCTGGGGCAGTGCTCTCAGGGCAAGGCGACGCTTCACTGTTCTAACAGGAGCTGCTGAGGACATAGGCATTCTTATAAACAGAACAACTCTGCTTTGTTTGAGACCAACTTCAAAGGAACAGCTACAGGAAGGAAGGGTATACCTCTGGCCTCCATTCACTTTTTCCTTACTCAGAGTGACTCAGCTGAACAGGGAGAGACCTGACCACACCCCAATAGGCTGAGAAGTATCCAAGGTCATTCTTACAGTTTAAGCAGCAAACAGAAGGTGCCTCATGGTCTCCCAATATTATACATAAAATTTGTATTTATCCTGGAAATATGAAACCAGGCACTTCATAATGCACAATGCGAGCAAACATGAATACCACATGACTTAATTTCTAATAAACTTTAACAAATCTAAAAATCTCCAAAAAAGTCATTACCTTCCTCTGGCTTTGCTGCCTTCTCTTTCTTTACTGATCCTGTTTTAGGGCCCTTGTCTTGTGACTTCTGTGAACCGCTGGTTTCCTTTTTTGAATTAACCTAGTAATATTAAAATAAGAAATGTCTCCAGTGATGCTATGGCCACCCAGATGACTACCCAGGTGAGTGTCCACATGATACCTATTAGAGTATAATCTATCAAGGTGCTTTTTACTGAAAAGAGATACAGCCAACTTCTTCAAAGAGCCACCTACACTCACTTAGTGTACTTCCTTAACTCCTCGAATTTTTTTTTTTTTTGAGACAGAGCCTCAAGCTGTCCCCCTGGGTAGAGTGCCGTGGCATTACAGCTCACAGCAACCTCCAACTCCTGGGCTCAAGCGAGTCTCCTGCCTCCACCTCCCAAGTAGCTGGGACCACAGGCGCCCGCCACAACGCCCGGCTATTTTTTGATGCAACCGTCATTGTTGTTTTGGCGGGTCCGGGCTGGGGATTTGAACCCGCCACCTTAGGTGTATGTGGCTGGCGCCTTAGCCGGTTGAGCTATAGGTGCCTAGCCGAACTCCTCGAATTTTTGAGCTCTAGGTTCCTACCCTGTAAGCCAACTGACATTAACTCACATAAAGTCACTAAACTCCCAGCCTGTATTTTGTTATGGGAACTCCAAGTTCCCAAAGTATCAGGGCTGGAGTCCTTTCCATTCCTCCTATCTCTGAGCCCCCACATCACTAAACCAAATCTGTAGATCTGATCATTCCCATTGCTACCACTAGATAAACCCAAGCTACTTAGCCCAGCTTTGCAGGCTATCCCTAGCCTAATTCGGCAAGTGCCTCTTCCATTTCACTGTTTCCCACGGCCCTACCCTCTAGCCTCATTCCTTATGCTATAGTGCAGTGTCCCATTTCTATACCTTTGTCCATGCTGGTTTGCCACATCAAATGGCCCCAGCCCCGTCCCTATCTGCCACAGTTGTCCATCTGATTTGAGTTCAGATGGATTTAAATATTCTATTCTTCGTGAAGCAATGTAGGCTTCCCTGGCACTTTGTTAGTATCTCTACTGTAGCACATTGCTGTATGTGTGACCTGGTGTTACCCGTAGAGCATAAAAGCACTTCCCTAAAACACTGCGAGCCTCTCAAGGACAGAGACTGATGTTTCCACATGGTTATAACCTATACAGGCCCTCCCACCAATACCTATCCATACACGGTACACAGAGACTCAATAAACACTCATCAGATTGAACCTGAGACAACAGAAAGGACTTCATGCCCTCTTTTCCACGTTCCTCTTCTATCTTCACACAGGAAATTCTCTTAATACAGTTCACTATGTTTAATTCTATGTCAGCAAACTTATGCCCAAGTAAGACTTTTTTAATTGATGGTGACAAAAATTAGAAAACGTAAAATTTAGGCCAAGCATAGTGGTTTAGGCTTATAATCCTAGCTCTTTGGAAGACCAAAGACCAAGGTAGGAGGATCGTTTGAGGCCAGGAATTTGAGACCTGCCTGAGCAGCATAATGAGACCCTGTCTCTACAAAAAAATACAGAAAAATCAGCTAAGTGTGATGACGTGCACCTGCTATCCCTGCTGCTGGGGAGACTGAGGCAGGATTGCTTGAGCCTAAGAGTTGGAGATTATAGTGACCTCTGATGATGTGACTGCATTTCTAGCCTGGGTGACAGAATACCTCATCAAAAAAAAAAGAAAGAAAAGAAAAGAATATAAAATTTACAGCCACATCTGGAATATAAGAAAGGGCTTTAAATTTTATATTTACTGTAGTGCATGAATAAATGCACTCTCAAAAGAGAAAATTATCATTTATTGAGCATTTCTTCCCAGGGTTTAAGAACAGGACGTATATTTGATTTGATCAATGAAACGACTCCTGGAGGCAGATACCATTCCCATTTTTAAGATGAAGAAACTGAAGCTCAGAGAAGTTCCGCAACTTACTGATGTACGGTCACTGCACCACACTGACTGCCAGTGTTTTTCATATTTTAGCTTCTCTCCCCCTCGTCTTCCCTCTATCTCCAGTGATGAGAAAATAATCTGTAAAGTCCCAAGTATTCTAAGAGTCACAGGAAGAGATCACAAAATCTAAATCTGGATCAGGTGTCTCCTGGAAATCACTGACCACACTTGGAATGTATGAGCTATATCAAAAGGCCTAAAATATATCGGTCGTGAACAGTTATTTGTACTTCCTGAAATTAAAGAGGAAGAAACCTAAAGACTGAAATAAGACTCCCTAGAAGAGGTCCCAACTTCCTCCTTTCATCCCTTCAACCCAGCCTGAGAGCACCCGGGACCGCAGGTGGGAGAGCAGGTGGGAAACAGGAACCACACCTCTCGGCTAGCCTTGGCCAGCTCGCATGCCCTCACACTGTGCCTGGCGCAGCCCAGAGTGAAGACCTGGCAAGCCGCCAGCACTGGGTGTCACTACAGGACACAGGGCAGCAGACATAAAGGGCACTTGGGAGTTGAACCACCCTTACGAGCAAGTTGCTTAACTTTTCTGAGCTTTAGTTTCTTCATCTGCAAAATTGGGGATAATCATATTTTATCACATAGCTCCGTTAAAATGACTAAACAGATGCTATCTATGAAGTGCCTAAATCCAATAACTGGAGCACAGGAGGTGTTAGTTAATGGCAAGTGCCAAGTCAGCAACCAGAGACCGAGCGTCCTCAAACGTATGCAATGTCTAATCTCCCTTCCCTGGCACCTTATTCAAAGAGCTTCATAATGCTCTTTTTGCGAGAGTTTGGGCAAGGAAGCTACGACAGAACAGCAGCAAACATCTCCGCCCTCCCTCACTTAGGCCAAGTCCTTTCCCTGTCACTTAGTGGTAGCTCTCCTGGAGCAGAGTCAGCATGTGAACCAAAGCACAGCAGCCTGGTCACCAGCAAACAGGGCCTCTGCCAATAAGACAGACAGAGAATTCAGCTGAGACCCCCTCCTTCACACATGACTGCCCCGTCCCCCTTGCATAGGAAAGAGGCACGCATAGACAGCAGCACATCTTACCTCAACCGGTGGGGTGTCTCCCAGCAACAGGTTGTTAAAAATGGTAGCATAATCACCATTTAAATTCATTAGTTCCTCATGGGTACCTCTTTCTGTTATACAGCCCTCTTTCATGAAGATCACTTCATCGCAATCAACTAGATACTGGGGACAAAGGCAGAGGCAACACGATATTGCTGATATTTGTGTAGATACTTGGAAATACTCATATCTTAATCCAGTGGTTCTCAGCAGGAGGTGATTTAGCCTCCTAGAGACTTTTGGCAGTGTCCGGAGACCTTTTGGCTATCACAATTGGGAAGAGAGGTACTACAGATGCTCCTCAACTTAGGACGAGGCTATGTCCCCATGAACCTAATGTCAGTTGAAAATAATGTCATAGCTTAGCCTTGCCTAGTTTAAACATGCTCACAACGCTTACATTAGCTTACAGTTGGGCAAAACTGTCTACCATGAAGCCTATTTTATAATAAAGTGATGAATAGCTCATGTAAGTAAAGCTGAGAAATCCTAAGTTGGGACCATCTGTACTGATATCTAGTGGATAGGGGCCAGGGATGCACAGAGCAGCTCCCCAGCAAGAAACCATCCAGCCCAAAATGTCAACTGGCCCTGTCATACAGAGAGAGCAGTTCTAGTTCTTTTTTTAGAGACAGAGTCTCACTTTATCACCCACGGTAGGGTGCCGTGGCGTCACACAGCTCACAGCAACCTCCAACTCCTGGGCTTAGGCGATTCCCTTGCCTCAGCCTCCCGAGTACCTGGGACTACAGGTGCCCGCCACAACGCCCGGTTATTTTTTTTGTTGCAGTTTGGCTGGGGCTGGGTTTGAACCTGCCACCTTCGGTGTATGGGGCCAGCACCCTATCCACTGAGCCACAGAACCGCCCCAGTTCTAGTTCTTGACACTAGTCTGCTGATGGAGCCTTATGAGCTTTGCATTAAATCTCACACCCTTTCACTGCACTTGGAAATACACATAATTACAGATTTTCTGTGGCAGAGTAAGGGGCCAGTCCCCCAAACTTGACAACATATGCAAAACAGATGGCAACATCCTCAAGCTGTTCTCCTAAGTGGCTGCTTATCATGGAATGACAGAGGGAGAAAAGCTTGTTTTCCCAAAACAGTTCCCACTTTTACCACAATGCTTTCCAAACTATCTAGTACGCACACTCTATTTCTGGCCCGCGCCTCTAGCTCTTTTCCTTGCTAATCTATATGCAGACGCTGATAATGCTCCAAGGATCTGATTCAGATGGCCATCTGGTGCACTGGGACAATGAGCTTTATAGGTACAATGGGCCCAGGAACTGTTTGCTAAGGAAATGAAAACTCGATTCCAGGAAATCTCTAGTTGCCCCACAAAGATACCTGGACCAAAGCCACCTGCCTGTTTCTGATCTCTCAAGCCCAGGTATGCAGCCTAGGAAAGAAAGCACCATACCTGTAACTGGTGTGTAACAAACAGAACCGTCTTGGACTTGAGGTGCTTCCGGATAGCACTGTTGAAGATGTGGTTGCCCACATGGGCATCTAAGGCACTGAGGGGGTCATCCAGGATATAGATGCTCCTGTCACTATACAAGGCCCGGGCGAGGCTGATCCTCTGACGCTGCCCACCACTCAGGTTGGCTCCTCGCTCTCCAATCTGCAGAAGCCCAGCAGCACAGTAAGCCCCCAGCTCAACTATGGAACAGGGTGCAGGAGCCACCCCAGGCACCCCTCCTCCCTCCCACCCAAACCAGCTCCTTGTCTTAAATTTCTCACAGATGAACTGGCACTGTGATCCTTCTAGGAACTGAGGGAGTTGGCCCAAATGCCTCCTCCTCTTCTACAATTATGGGGGACCAATCAATTCCACAACCAGCCTTGCTAGCCCTCATCCCCAGGGACTGCCCCTCCAACCTGTTCTCCACATGGCAGAAAGATCTTTCCAAAACACAAAGGTGACCAGGTCCCAACCTTGCCTAACTCTTCAGGAGCCCCCAAGGATGGAATCCAAATACCCGAACTTGGCATACAAAGCAGCCCTTGTACCACCCGGCACCCCTCCACAACTTCCAACCTCCACAGCCCCATCCCCTGCCACACCCTGGGGTCCGAGCCATTTCAGACTATGCGCTTGGATGAACACAGACGACAGCGTCATGCCCTTGCCTGTGGTGTGTCTCCTCAGTTTCTGGCATCATCCCCTCTGAAATTTCCCCCAACTTCTCCACTAACTCCCAAAAGAAAAGAGGCTTTTCCATTTTGTGCCTCTCTGTTGAGTGTCTCATCCTCTCAACTGCATGCTCCTGGAGGGTGCAGGTTATCCTCACATCCCTTTATGCCCTCAGGGCTGAGTACTTCCTGCACCTGTCTCTGGCACCTCAGAACAAGCACCTGATAAATGTCCCTAAATGAACAAATGAGTAAATCCTCAAGTGGTAATGGCCTTTGTATTTTGGAAAAATCTTGCCTTTAATTGAATTTTTAAAAATTCAATGAATTCAGAGGTTTTCAAACTTGACATTCCCTTAGAATTACCTGCAGGGTTTGTGAAAATAGACTGTTAGTCTCCACCCTTAGAGTTTCTGATTCAGCGGGTCTGGGGTGCAATCTAAGAATCTTCATTTCTAAGAAGTTTCCAGGTAATGCTGATGCTGATGATCTGGGGACCACGATTTGAGAACCTCTCAACTCATTAAGCCATTTACCAAATCTGCTTTGAGAGATTTAGCTGCTATCAATTGAATAAAGGTGCCCATCCCCCAAACCTCCAGGCTAGCTCATGGGAGATGAGCTAGCACAGACTAGTACAAATACTGCCTCTGGAGACTGCTACCAGGCAGAGAACCAAAGGGAGGGTTTGTTCTGAGGGTCTTTGTTTCTGATGGAAGAGGCTCCCTATGGACTCTGTGGGTAAGGAGGCTGCCAAAATGAACTTCAGAGAAGAAGCTCGACACAAACATGCTTGACTTGTGGTTTCATCTTGAGTAAAAACATTAACTCTGAATCAACAATGAGATTTTGCTGAAGTATGTATATACTTAAAACCAGTAGTGCTAAGGTCCCTGCCCTAGAAAATGAATGTTTTTCTAACATAAAGGCCCAATGAAAGCAGAACTCCCTGTTACGTTCCTCCCTGAAGCATTTAAGATGCGTTTCTAGGAGGTGGCTCTGGCCCAGCCCTCCCACTCATCCCCAGAGCCTTCCCTGCTAAACTCACTGCCCTGTCAGGACATAAGGCCTGTACCTCAGTCAGGTCGCTGTTGGGGAGGATGGCCAGGTCAGGCCTCAGGCAGCAGCTATTCAGCACAGAGTTGTATCTGGAAGACACAAAGAGACAGTGTCAGGGACATGGCTGGAGTAAAGCCCAGACTTGGGCTGCCTTGCATCTCACGTGGCCAAGATGGAAACCAAGCATTCCTTGCCTTTCTTCATCAAATTCCTTCCCAAAGAGGATGTTGTCTCTCAGAGTGGCATTCAGGATCCAGGCCTGCTGGGCCACATAAGCGAAGGTTCCACTGATTGCAATGCTGCCTTCTAGAAGTGTCATCTAGGGAGACAGATACCACCCAATGGCATCATAACTTAAAATCATCGCTCTAAGCCAACAACCCCCCCCCATTCTACAATGGAATCTATAAGTTTTGACCATTTCATTAGATGCTTTTTGGACCCAAATCCAAACTCTACCTTTGTTCCAAAGATAGCTACAGCAGCAAAGAAAATCAAAGTCCTCCTTGCTTATGTGATGGGAGCCCAGCATAACCCATGACATGAATGAACATATCACTCAGCAACCTGTCTGCCATTTGACACTCTTTCTTCCTAATTGCCAACTATTTAATTAGGGAAAGCAAGCACAAGCAAGAAGGTCCTTTCAGAATCCCCCGGAGAGGATGCCACAAGGATTTGCAGCTTGTTCTTTGTTTAAGACGAGGGCAGGCCAACTCATCTACAGAATTAATCCAAAATGCTGGCTAGACCAGCTGCTTCTATAAAACGAGGACCAAAGGGGGAAAAAATTCCAGGTTAGACATCAGCTAGTATCACACAGTATCCATATAATGTTAATGGACCTTCTCAGCCAACATGAAGGCGCAAATGAGCCCTGTGCTTTCTGTTCTCAGTCACAGTGATTGACATTAAACTGATTCATCCACTTCAACTTCTTTCATGATGTCTTTGGGGACTGACAGTAGACACCTGTCTTGCATTATGGATGCTCTGACTTTGAAGCAGTTTTGTTAACCGGTCCGTGTAGTCCTCATACATATAAGGATACCTTCTCAGAAACCACCACACAGTGTATACACAAAGGCACACCTCACCGCCCGTGATGTGGTATGTACTTTTTTTTTTTTAATTGTTTGGGGTTCATTGAGGGCACAAAGATTAGGTTAAACTGATTGCATTTGTTGGGTAAACTCCCTCTTATAATTGTGTCTTGCCAAGAGGTACGCCATACACTGTAACCCCTATCCCCCCTTCCACCTCCCCTCTCCCCACTCCCTCGTTCCCCTGCCCCCCACCTCGAATTGATTTGAGTTTTTCTCTTATGAGGGTGTGTATTAGATAGTCTACTGGCTTCATATTAGAACTGAGGACATTGGATTCTCGCTTCTCCATTCTTGTCATTCTTTACAAAGAACAACGTGTTCCACCTCTATCCAGGTTAATACAAAAGATGTAAAGTCTCCATCTTTTTTAGTGGCGTAATAGTTAGTGTACATATACCCATGGTGTACATATACCCCAGCTTGTTAATCCATTCCTGGGTTGGTGGGCATTTAGGCTGTTTCCACATTTTGGTGATTGCAAATTGAGCTGCGGTAACATCTAGGGCAATGTGGTAGGCACTCTGACATGCACTTCAAAGTGTTCAGAAACCCATGGAGGGTCTACTGTGGGGACCCAACTCTAGCTGCTGTGCCACAAACACTCCACATGGCACCGTTGCTAACAAATAAAGTCTAAGGACGCAAGGAAGACCAGAATTACCACCTCCCTGTCAGACAGGGCTGCCAGGATTTGATCCAGAAGCAAAGCCCCACTCAGTTTTCAACCTAACTGCCACCCAGCCTAGCCACTCCCTGGGAAAGGAACATTTTTACCAGACTGCTGAGTAGCATTCAGGAACTTTTTCTTACTCTCCCCACCCCATCTCTCTCCCTCCTCACTGGCCCTCAAATCCAGCTGATTATCAGAATCACCTAGCAAGGTGTTTCTTCAAAAAACAAAGGTTTTTTGCTTTTTACAAAAACCAAATGGCTGGGCCCAACCACTGGAGTGTGTCATAAAGCAGAAGTGGGCATAGGGTGGGGACTGCCACTCAGTGACCAGAATGTAGCCTTCCCCTGAATGCCCTGGGAACCACTCTTAAGGAGAACCACAACTCACCAACTGTGACAGCGGAAGCCACAAAAGACAAGAAAATATCCCATAACCTAGAGGCTGGAAGGACACCCTTCCCCGCCACTACCCCAAGGTGTTCATTTCAATTCAGTGGACCTCATCCTTCAGGAGGTAATAATCTCAAGTTTATGTTCATCTCAACCTTTTAAGTCAAGCTAACAAGGACGAGGGTGTCCTGGGTTTTTTCCCCTGATTCTTTGGTCCTAAAATATGGTAAAGGTAATTTGTCTCAGCAAGGGTGACCATTGCACCCCTTGCTCTGTTAAGTGCCAGCAGCTGTCTGCTGGGCCCCTCTGGGCCCTGTGACACGCTGGCGTCCATAGGGCCTAGCTTCCCACTGGACCGTGAACCCCTAAGGGCCTAAGTCTTTCACTGGTTAGGCTGATAACCCAGTGGGGCTTTGCTTCCAAGTCCGGATGTTCTGTCCCTGAGAGAGGCTGACAGTGCTGGCTACTGATTCTCTAGTTTAACTCTTTGTCTGCCGTAAGGCAGCACTGGGGATTCGTCCATCGCTTAGGTCTGCCATAAGCAGATGGTCTGGCACGCCTATGGCACTCAATAAACATAGGCGTGAAACATACAATAAGGTGTGAAAAATGATGACTCCAGCTAGGGTATCAGGTGCCCACTGAGTCCCCTTCCAGACACAATGCTATCAAGGGGTGGGAGGTGTGAAGGGGGAAGAGTCAGCAGGGCAGCATGAGGCAGACCAAGGGCACATTTTGCTTCTAGCTTTCCTGATGAAGTTCTTCAGGAAATTTGTTGATTTTTCCTGAGACTTTTGCTAAGCAGAATCCAGAGAAATGTCGAAGACAATTAGCAAACTCTTACCTGGCCTAAAATGGCTGAAATGAGAGAGGTTTTTCCACTTCCAACACTGCCACAGATTCCAACCAGTTTTCCCTGGACAGAACACAGAGAAAGAAAGGTAATGAGGAGACTGCTGACTGCTCATCTCTGAGGCCTGCGTGTGTCTGAGGGAAAGCACCCTAACTACAGACCACCACCACGGAACGGTCATCCTGCTGCCCCAGCAAGCTCCTCAGCACTGGTCCCGGCTGCCCAGCAGTGGGGTTTCTGTGGGGATACACTGAGGTACAGCAGTGGAAGCCCTTGGGAGAACGTAACTGTGCCACAAATACTAAGTTATTGCACAGACACTTTTAGGAAGGCTCTGCCCCTTTCCTAGTTTGTTGTGGCCCATGTTTTTGTTTATTTATTTATTTACTTATTTATTTTTTGAGACAGAGCCTCAAGCTGTCCCCCTGGGTAGAGTGCTATGGCTTCACTGCTCACAGCAACCTCCAACTCCTGGGCTCAAGCGAGTTT